CAGGATGACACATAGCAACATTGATTCAATTTTACAGAGCTGTAAAAGGGGCCTTAGAATTACAGCCAGGTTTGTTTTAGCTCCAGTTCCGGTGGGAAAAGACCTGTGACAAGTAAAACATAATCTTCATAAAGGGGAGTTTTCCTTCACAGAGAATGGTTTTTACATCTTATTCAAATAGACTTCATATGAAAAATTAGATATAATAACCAAACTTAAATATCAGGCAGTCACAACTTGATAGTGCTTAATTCTACACTGTTCCATGCCCCCTGGAAGGATCTTGCTGCTTGACTAAACTTTCTAACTTCATTCATCCCCAGTCCATAGTGTTATTTTCCTTTGTTTGGGACTTCTCTCCTGATTAAAAATCACTTCACCTTTCCCTAGGCCAAAAAACACAAATAAAATATAAAGATATGGGTATTATTCCACTCTCTACTTGTACGTAAAATGAAATAAAATAAAATCAGTTGAAGCTTAGACCAAGATCGGGATCAACTCACAAATCCTGCTGATGGGCGCGTATCTTTTGGGCTCAGCTACATTGTGGCTCCAGAGCCTCTTCTCATGCTTCCAGGGACTCAGAGTTGTCGTCATCACTGCTACCTCCCTAATCTCTACTAATACTGAGAGCTTAGATTTTGTGAACACATCACAAAATAGCCGATGCATACAATGAAGTATGGGTAAATTAATTTTGTTATTAAAACCCAGTTCCCCATGGTCTGTTACTAGGTTCACATTTTCTAATATTTTCCAATATTTCTGCTTCTCATATTTTCTAATATCCCTGCTTCTGCTTGGGGATCATACACTGAAAACTAGACACATACATCTCATGTTTGGAGTATGTCCATTGTTTCTTTAATGAAAGAGTCAATCTTTAATTTACAAGCAATTTTGGAAGTAGGAGGGGTGGGGTTTCAGACCTCACAGGGCAATGCTCGGGGTTTACTCCTAGCTCTGTACTTGGAGATTACCATGGGCATCACTTGAGGGATCATGTATAGTTCCAGTGATTAAACTCCCAATTGGCAGCAAAAGAGGTAAGTTCCTTAAGCCCTGCACTATCTCTGTACCCGTGCTCAAAGGGCAATTTCTTAAGAGAAGTTATTTTATTGATTAAATGTATTTATGCCATTGAGGATACTATGAAGGTCCTTAAAGCTCTTACAAACGAATCTACTGTTTCTCCAAACTGAGCATTCTTAAACACAAAATGATGCTATTAGACCTATTTTAGAAGGCTTGCCTAGTAGTCCCAACTTTTACATGCATAATTTGGCATAACTCTGCTCCAGTGGGAGCCTGAAACTAGTATCAAATACTAATAAATATTGCTTTTCTTTTACATATTTATGATAATTTTAATTAATTAGAGATGATAAGATTAATACTGGCTAATAACAAATAGAACAATTAAATTAATATAATGGAGTAAACATTATATGAATGCTTTCTCTCATAGCATTTTTCGGTGCACAGTTGACCATGAATAATTAAAACTACAGAAAACAAAAAAGATAAAAGGGCTCACTGTAATGAATTTTCAAGGAAACACAAGCTCAAAATAGCCAATTTCTATGTCTATTCTTACTTGTGTTTCTAAAAAACTAATTTTCACTTCATATATTTGCATCATTTTTTAAAAGCATTTGCATGCATAGAAGAAAAGTGCAGTACATAGGTTCAAGCTATACGTAAGGAAGCTTTGACCAATAGGGATTCTGATTGGATAAGCCTTTTTTTTGATTTGTTGCATGGCTTCTGTTCTCCAATTACTATCCTGAAACTATATAGAAACTATGCTAATTTCTATCATATTTCATAAGAAATAGCAGTATCTATTCTCCACCAGATAAATTAAAAAATGGATATGTCACCAGCATTGCATAATTTATGATAAGAGAATGGGCAAAGTCTACATTTGACAAAAATTATACACAGGCTTACTAAAGGCATTTGCTTATTGGTGCTTGAAATGGGAGTGAACAAAATGAATAGCAAAAATGTCCCAGGCATCCTGAGACAGTAAGTAGTGACAGTACATGGTAACATCTGAAACAAGATGACATGACACATCCAGGTTTCAAAGAGAATATTAGCACTGTTCTAGAAGAAATGGGTAGGGTCACATGTACCACTTCCAAATGTAGCACTGTAGCACTGTCCTCCCATTGTTCATCAATTTGCTTGAGCAGGCCCAGTAACGTCTCCATTGTGAGACTTGTTGTTACTGTGCTTGGCATATAGAATACGTCACGGGTAGCTTGCCAGGCTCTGCCATGCGGGCGAGATACTCTGGGTCGCTTATGGGCTCTCCGAGAGGGGTGAAGGGGCTCTTAGAAATTTCCATGTTTAATTCTTCTTTTCTTTCACCTCTAACAGCTGTATAGAACTTCCATAAAGATGCACAATACCTCTTTACAGCTGTTAGAAGAGAAAGATAAAGTGACTCAAAACATGGAAATTTTCTAAAATGAAAGTGGACTAAGAACTTTATATTAGATCAGCCATACTATAATGTGTTGTGAGTCTAAAACACACTTTTATTTGGCTACACCCTTGAGGTCAAAGCATTGTTTACTATCTTTGTTAGCTGATCTATCCCATTACATTGGCTCCTTAAATTTTAATTAGGGATAAATTTCTGAATGCCAAACTTGGAAACAAGTCTTCCTATTTATGAATAATGAAAATGAGTTCAAACAATGCAAAATCTATGCACAAATTGTCCCAGCTGGTAAGGTTTGCATATAAGAATCTGAGACTGATATTACTTGGTCACTTATCTAAATGCTAAAAGCACACAAAAACTCAAAAAATAGTTATATTGTGGTCATAAGTTTCTAAAACTGGCTTCGAGTAGAGAAAGTAATAAGGTGATCCTAGTGAGAGTTCCTTGAAGGCATTCTTGGAAATAATTACATAATATTTATCTGTCTATAATTTACCATCATTGTTAACAAGTACAGAATGCTTCATGCAGAGACCACATATAAAATAAATTAATATTTTGCATTTGCACATCATGAATCATGTATCTTCCTTGACAAATTGTTGGATGCATGCTGTTTTAAGCTTTAATAAACTAGACCTTGGGACTGGGGAGATAGTACAATAAGTAGGGCATTTTTCTTATATGCTGCAGACTCAGATTCAATTCCCAGTTTCGCACATGGAGTCCTGAGCACTTCCAGGAGTGATACTCAAGTACAGATCCGGGATTATGTACTGAACATCACCAGGTATGGGCCCAAAACAACAACAATAATACAGAGACCTAAGAAAATAAACCATGGAAGAAAGACTGCCAAATTTTTCCCCTCAAGACTTTTGGGAGCCCTTCCATACTCAGAGGATCCAAGGCCTCGGCTATAGATTCACAAGAATAGATTGCCCACCATGCTGCACAATCCAGCGCTTGGTCCCAAGGATATGGTGATGCTTGGGCCCTGAGATTGTGGGAACCACCAGAATAACATGAACCATGCTCAGTGAGCTTCAAGAATAATCCAGTGGAGGAGGAAGTGCTCAGAGGGCCAAGCTCTCCCCCTAGTCCCAAGCTAAGTACGTCTGCAGTATGTTTAGTTCAAATATTATTTTTGACATAGAATAGCACTGTAGCACTGTCCTCTCATTGTTCATCAATTTGCTTGAGCGGGCACCAGTGATGTCTCCATTGTGAGACTTGTTGTTACTGTTTTTGGCATATCGAATACACCACGGGTAGCTTGCTGAGCTTTGCTGTGGGTGCGGCATACTCTCAGTAGCTTGCCAGGCTCTCAGAAAAGGATAGAAAAATTGAACCTGGGTCAACCCCATGCAAGGCAAATGCCCTACCCACTGTGCTATTGCTCCAGCCCTTGACATAAAATATCAATTAAAATGCCCTGTGCTACTCTTACCATTTTTCGAGACATTGCATATTGGTGCCTCATGGGGGATGCCCATTTCCAATTAGATTTAACTCAAAACATGGTGCAATTTTCTCTTCTAGATTTTGCTTACAGATGATTGTCCGTCATTACAATGTTCACAGAATACTAATCATCCAGAAACAGTATCAATGCAAGAAAGGATGTGGCCATAAATCTCTAAAATTAGAGAAAAATTTACAGTAAAGCTATAGCAGATGGCACTTCAGGAACCCCTTTTTCCTATGATGCATGTCCATTATGTGTCAAAAAAATAGAAGGAAAAAATCCACAAAGGGAAAAGTGTACTATAGAAACATATGTGTTTAAATCAGTAGTCTGGAACCACATGTTTATTCCATTCATCACATGCACAGCTATTTGTCTGCCACTGGGATATAGAAGTAGCTCCCATATATACTCCCGCTTTCCCTTCCAAACCCATTCAGTATCAAAGCACAATGGTGCAAGATTACAAGCAATTTCCCAATAGGAGTGTTCCCTGCAGTAACCAGACTGTAAATGTATATGTTAAGAGGAGAAGCTGAGTTTGAACTATGTGCAGTCTGAAATCAATCTTGGAAAAATCTGAAAATCTATGCTATGAAACTTGACAAAATTTCTGAAATGTAGTCACACTTGAATAAGTTTAGGTGGCACGGGAAGTATAGTGATTAAGAGAGCACATTTTGAACTACATGTATTTAAAAATGAAAGAAGTAAACATAGCAAAGGCAAGTGACTATCCATTTACATCTGAAATAAAATAAATAGATGTAGTGTTAAATATTCCAAAAGTCTTATATTTAATATACATTATACTAAATGAACTATTAACTTCTCAGTTTTATTGTCATATTGTTTTACAGAAAAGTTAATGGATGCAAATAAATATGCACAATTTTTAAAGGATGTGGTATTACCAAAAGGAAACATAAAAATGAAAATAAATATTTTCCAAGTGATTAATGTCACTCTAAACACTCTTTTGATCAACTGGGTTTATGTACATGACCTAAAAATATGCTGCAGCATATTAGCAAGAAAATTGTCCTAGCACTTCATTCCTTTTTTTTTAAATCACGGGAGAGACAGTCAAAAATTGCCAAGGTTGACTTTATTTCAAGTCGTCATGGCAGGGTATTGGGAAAAATTTCAAAAATTAGCAATAATCACACCTCGGATAAATCTCATTGGCTATGATATTGCCACTGTGTGAAACTAGCACTTCATTGTTTCCTTTTAAAATATGAAAGTATCACACAAAGAGGCAAAGAACACATAAATAAAGGTATAAGAAATAAAGGTGTGGCAGAAAGTTAATTTATCATGTTTTAAATTTATAAATGCCTGTGATATTTCACTTATTTCATTAATAATCTCTAGTAATTTATTTTCTAATTTTTAAAACATTGTCAACAAATGTTAAGAGGAATACCCAGAATTGTGTAAATTTTGAGAGTTTGAATTTCTTATCTGTGTCTCTTCAATGAGGAATTATACAGAGTGCCAGCAACAGATTATTTCCAATGGTACCAATTATTTTGCTGGGCTCCAAGACTCTTGAGCAAAACCTTACTGTTGAATTCCATCCCGCATATTTCCACATTAAGTAAAGAATATGGTTTGCTATATAAAGAAGATCAAACTGAAAACCAGATAGACCACTGGCATCAGAAAAAGAGGGATTATTAGCAAACTAAAAATATAGCTTATTTAAAGTATAATACAATTTGCTTCATGGATTGGTTCTGAAAGTTAAATGAGATAATAGGAAAGTATTTGCAAACTGGCTGACATTATTAGATGTATTTGATAAGTATAAAACTTATCTAATGGAGAGGAAAATGGAGAGAAAGAAAATGGAAATGAGCAGAAGCTATAAAGAAGAATGTTGGAAAAGCCCTGTGAGGATACTCCAAGTTTCTGAAATATGTTTGGAGATGATTTTTTTCAAAAGCGGCATGGACTTGAGAGGAGAAAAAGGATGCCAGAGACATTCACATTGATGAACAAATAGGGATGATAACCATGGGATTTTATCAAAGCAAGAGAGCAGAGCTTTAACATACAGGGAATATCTTTAGAGTGCTTACATAAACCCAACCGGGAACTATGTACAAAGGTTTCCGAAGAAATAATAGAGAGAGACAGATAAGGTACAAGGCAAAGTGATAGCTTATCAGCAGGAAATCCCAGAAGAAATATCTATTTTATTGGGTAATTAGTGTAATCCGCTTCCTAGCAAAAGCCTAACATTGAGGGAATCTATTTTCTGTTTTATAAAAACACAAACTCAACTGAATTTAATTTCCATTCAAGATTACACTGAGGTTCTCTTTAGATTTTTCTTTTTATTTGGCATCTTCGATTAAAACTCTGGATGGCAACTGTTACAACAAGATCATTTGACCAGGGAACTTGTCAGTCTCTGAGAGTCAAATGCTGGATTCCATAGTGGGTAAATCCAGGTAGACAGCAACCGTCCCTGACTCAATGCTGTTCAAAGGAAGCCTCTACTGTCAGTTCTCTAATCACCTGAGCAAACTAACAAACAAGAAACAGTCATCAAATTTTCCTGATACAAAGCAAACAAAGTCATTCCTCATGGCATATATGTGTTGGGCATTGGAAATGTCTCCAGATATACACAGAGATTTCAATGTGCCAGCTTCCCAGTTCGCCTGTAAATCAATCTTTCAAGACTCATTTTAAGGCAAATTTAAGAGAGAGATGGATTTTGCCATCTGTTTAACAAGTAATTTAAAATCCTTCTCTAAATCCTTGCCTTTTTATCTGTAAAAGGGTCCCAGTTTAAGAAAGCACCTCTTTCTTGAACTAGAAAATAGATTTCCTGAAATACTATTTATATTACAATGTGACTGTCACCTTTGAGCAAGTCAGCTTCTGCAACAGTCTTTCCCTTCCTGGGAATCCAATAATGGGCATATAGAACAGAATCTTACTTCCCTACCCTAGCTGGAACCTCAGCACATTCTCCCTCACATATCTCCCCATTAAATTCGCAGTTCAGGACATCAGTGTCCCTCCCAGAGCTTGCAGGATCTTTGGGTTTGAGATACTGTCTCTTGATTAATCATTACCTGTGCACTTGCCCTTTTCATTCAATTTCAGCTTCCTGAAAACTTAAATCTGAAGTTACCCAATTTTTGTGCAAACTCTCAAAGACTTTTCTTAGCCACCACTCCCTGAACTCTGCCTAACCTTTACTAATATTCGACAAAGTCCTTAATGAGATTGTTTTATGTTGTCATGTTAGAAAATTGAAAATGAAAAGGCTTTGATTTCTTAAAGGAATCACATAAGGGAGTCTGTGCACTCACTTTTATTCTTTATCTTCTAATTAGAGGATTGGACTTTTTCCTTTTTTTAACACAGGAAGAACAAGGAGACTAGAGAAAAGTCTTACAAAGACATTATTTCAACTTTCACTTTTTTCCTCTTTCACTTTTATCCCACTTTCATATGATTTTAATTTACAATTAAGAAACCTGAAATGATCTAAATGAGAAATTTTAAATGAGATGAAAAGATCTGTGTTCAGAGAGAGAACTATTTAGAAATTAGGATGTGTCATAGAAGATGCTCCTGCCCCAAATCATCAATGCCAGGCAGCTGGGTTACCCACTGCCTCTCAGTACAGGCCAAAGGAGTGCCATATTCTTCCCAGGGAGCTCTCAATGCTCCTCCCTGTTATCTTCATCAACATCCCATAATTCTTTAGAGAACATGCATGCTTGAGAAGGCAGAAATTGCCTCTGCTTCTAATGACTACTGTTTCGCTAGTTCCATCTTACCCCCAGGCATCACCTGTATTATTCCTTATGCCTTTTTTCAAGCATTATTTTCTATGGGACTGGAGTGATAGCACAGCGGGTAGGACATTTGCCTAGCATGTGGCTGACCTATGTTTGATTCCTATGTCCCTTTTGGAGAGCCCTGCAAGCTACCAAATGTATCCCATTCGCATGGCAGAGCCTGGCAAGCTCCCCATGGTGTATTCGCTATGCCAAAAACAGTAACAAGAAGTCTCACAATGGAGACATTAATGGTGCCCGCTCAAGCAAATAGATGAACAATGGGAGGACAGTGCTACAGTGCTATTTTCTATGGCACAATATTAGCTCTATACTCTAGAGTTAATTATTCTAGAGTATAGAATCAAAACAATTTTCTTTTTCAAAACAGTTTTTTAAAAACCAGTTCTGAGTTTGGGTTGGAGCGATAGCACAGCGTGTAGGGCATTTGCCTTGCATGCACCTAACCTGGGTTTGATTCCTTTGTTCCGCTCGGAGAGCCTGGCAAGCTATCCCGCCCGCATTGCAGAGCCTGGGAGCTCCCTTTGGTGTATTTGATATGCCAAAAACAGTAACAACAAGTCACCCTTCATATTCCTAGAACTAGCAGACGCCATTGGGCTACACTAGAATGTGACAGGGAAAATGGAGACATAACTGGTGGCCACTCGAGCAAATAAATGAACAATGGGACAACAGTGCTACGGTGCTACAGTGAAGTTCTGAGTTTGGAGCCACACTTGGTGGTGTTCAGGAACGATATTCCCTTCTCAGTGCTTGAGGGTCAATGGGGGTGATAGTGCTCAGAGACCATGCAGTGTCTTGGATCAAAAATCAAGCCTTCCACATGAAAAGTATGCTTTCCATCGTTTGGAGCTATGTTCCTGGTATGAACTCTAAAATATTTTTTTTTGGTTAGGGGGAACAAAATAACAGGGAGATTCACATGTGGTTCTGCTCAGGGCTCACCCCTAGGTCTGGATTCAGAGATCACTCCTATCATGCTTAGGGGAACATGCAATGATAGGAATCTGGGTCAGATGTGTGCCAGACAAGCGCTTTACCTGCTGTAATATCTCCCTGGTTCCAAATTCTAGAATCATATCCGTTTTATTTACTTAACAAGGAATTTCACAGTTTGGAGGCATTATTCCACAGACTGGGAGAAATCATTTGCCCACCACTCATTGAACAAAGAGTTAATGTCTAAGATACATAAAGCACTGGTAGAATTCTTCAGAAAAACAATATCCAAACCTATCAAAAAGTAACGAAGAGAAGAGATGAATAAACTTCCTCAAAGAAGAAATACAAATTGGCTAAAAAGCAAATGAAAATCTGCAGGGGAATTCAAATCAAAATAACAATGAGATATCACCTGAAATTACAGAGGTTTGCACTCATCAAAAAAAAAAGAACAATAACCAGTTTTCATAAGGATGTCGAGTAAAAGGGACCCTCATTCATGGCTGATAAGAAGGCCCACTTGTCCAGTTATTTTGAAAGATAATATGAACATTCCTTTAAAAACAAAGAGCAAGAGAACTGGTTTTCAGTAGGAAGCTTGCCACTGGGGCAGGATGAGAAACTAAGTTAGGGAAGAAACAAGGGGGAAGAAAAAAGCACTGATGCAGAAGTTAGTTCGGTTTTGGAAGAGGAATTGGGCACCATTGTTGGAGGGCAGTGGACACTGTTGAAGAAACTGAGTATTGGAGGAATATTCGCTTGAAACTCAATCATAAATATCTCTGTAACTCTCTATGTCAAAGTGATTCTAATTTAAAAAGAAAAGAATTAAGGCTGTCTTGCAAAATGTTTTATATGCATAAACTCTGCCCTATATATCTAAAAACAGGAAAAAATAGCTAGATATTAGGTTAAAGAAATGATAGGCATAGATATATTTCTTTTTTTTCTTTTTGGTCACACCCAGCAATGCACAGGGATTATTCTTGGCTCTGCACTCAGGAATTACTTCTGGCGGTGGTTAGGGGACCATATGGGATGCCGGGGATAGAACCCGGGTCGATTATATGCAAGGCAAACACCCTGCCCACTGTTCTATCCTTCCAGCCTGGCAAACATATATTTCTATAGCTGTAGATTGCATCTTTTCCAGTGCAGTAACAAACACAACTAATAGGCATATTGAGGACAGTAAGGAGGAAAAGAAACATTCTTAGAACTTTATAGCTTAGTAATTTCAAATTATTAGGTAACGCAAACCAAGCCTTTAACTAATGTTATTTCTGTTTTCTCAAGAATTTTTTTTCATATAGTTGAAAAAAAATGAAACTTCCTCTTAAATTTAAATATTTAATTACTCTTTCTAGGTTTAAGAATCATTATTTTAAGTGTGTGAAGGGACATCTAATTCAAATAATGAGGCTTACGTTTTTTTTTTT